AAGGCTCCGCGCTACACTCTTTTAGACGTCCCATCAGCTCTCAGTTACCTTTTTCCCTCCCAAGACCTGCATCCGGCCAGCACAGGTACGGGAAGCTTAGTCACGTACTCTGCCTTTCAGTGCCGCGACCGCGCCGATGCGTTGAATTCTTCCGCTTGCCATTGCTGCACTCGCTTCTCGTCCAGCGGCGACAGAGGCGCTTTCCTCAAGCAAGGCCTCGGGGCTCGTGGCTGCACCGTGGTCAAAGCAGGGCCTCGAGACACTCGTCCTTAGTCCTCGACTTCCCCGGATGCCGGCACTTTTACACGGCGATGGCCGGCCCAGATGGCATGCGTCCAACACTCCCGGCCTCTGGGATGCCTCATCATCTCGCCTCCGGGCTGTCGGCGTGGGATCGGAGGGTCGGGGTCAAGCCCCGAGTTCTTCCGGATTAATTCGCGCACCGAGCTGTGTTTGAGACCCCGGGAGGTCTTCGAGAGTTGCAACGCCCCATCTTCTCTATTCCGCCGCTGTGCGTCGGCAACGCGACTCCTCGCAGTGCGCGTTCTCTCCGGATACTGCCCTCAGTGAGTTCCTGGCGAATTCATGACCATGGTCTCCCCATGACGCTTCCCTCCGGCTCATCCAAACGAGACACCGGTGACCGCTCGCAACTCCAATCCCAGCAGAGATGACAAAAGAAAAAAAAAGAATTAAGAAACTCGCCAAGTGCTTGCCAAACAATGAAAAAAAAAAAAAAATAAGATACCATACAATACAAAGGAGAAAAAATACGAAAACCAACAAGAGCAGAGAAAGAACGATGACAAAAAATAACAACCCAAATACCGCCCGCCGATCGAAGATTTAAATCAACACAGAAGAAGAAAGGACAAAAGAAAAAACAAGAAACACGCAACAGACACAAGAAAAAACCAGAAATGAAAAAGAACAGACACGAGGCCAGCTACTCAACCTGATCAAAAGAGAGTCACCATCCGATGAAGGAAAAACTAGATGGATAGAAAGAAAAAAAAAACAATGAAACGACAAACGCGAAAAAGAAAAAAAAAAAAAAAAACGAAAAAAAAAAAAAAAAAAAAAAAAAAAAACAGATATAACAGAAACTAAGAGAAACACGAAGAAAAACATATACAAAAAACAAAAAAAAGAAGAATAGAATCAACACATATATGAAACAAGAATAAATGATATAAAAAGAATATACAGATAAAACCAATAAGAGAAAAAAGAATCACACTATACCCGCTGCTGGAGCGGCGTCGCTGATCAGACTTGAAAAAACCCAAATACAAAAAGATAGAATCAAAAAGGTGGCTTCCGTGATATAGAATAAGAAGAAATAGAAAACACGAGAGAGAAAGACACAGAGAAACAATAAGATGATATCAGAGAAAAAAAAAAACAGCAAACTCAAAAATGAATATGGGAATGTGAGAATAGAGCACCAAGCTGTCCCCGGTAAACAACCAAACAGATACAAAAAATAAGAAATAAATGACTCGGTGGGGCGGGGGAGGTTCCTGCTTCACAGGAAGGGGCGTGCACGACCGCGCGAACGAACGGCAGGACGTTTCCTCCGGAGGCACAGCACCATGGCTCCGCCTTACAGGTGACGCGCGAAGTACCGGGGGCAAACGAAGTTGCGTCGTCGCCTCACCGCCGACCTCTCACCTGTTTTTGCACGAGTAGCCATGGGCATACGTCAAGCTTTTTCCAGGCTATGGGGTGGGTACTAGCCACCGTTCGCCCGACTACGCTAAGGTGCCATGGGGTAAGCTGACGGCAATGCAACAACGCGAACCCGAGGAACGCATACGCAACTCGAAGTTACACCGTGCGCGAACGTGGTGATGGTAGAGCTGGATTGGCGATGCAACAAGGGCGAAACCCAGTACGAACGTTATGAGTGCTTATGCTCATCTATATACTACAGGCACGTTTGCTGCTGGACTCTCCGCGGGACGTTTAAACGATTACCGAGTGTACAATCCTGGTCACGGCAACCAATGTACGTTTTTCCCGTTACGTGACTCTCCACTTTCGACATGGATTGTACAAACGTCGCACCAAGAACAACAACACAACTCAAAGTCGAAAGTCGTTTTACGCCCGGGGAATAGGTCGGGGGTTTTATTCCGCTTTCTGGTCAACGGACCAGACGTCGGCCATAAAACGGGCTCATATTGCCTCGCCAGCGTAAGTGCCGAGTATAGCGAACAAGATACCAACTGGCGCGAAGGCCTACCAAAACGATCTCTGTGGGAGGCGGCCAAGTCCTTGCAGAGATCGCATGATTGCGTATCGTGGCTGTATCGTTGGCGTTGTGGCTTCTCTCCGACGGATTCGTCCTGGTGATGTCTGCGGAGAGGTTCACTAGCAGGTCCTACCGCGTGACAACTGAACTGAAGCTCAACTGCTGAACTGACGAACTGAGCTGGCCATAAACTGAGCTGCTAGAACTGCCAGTGCTCTGGGGAGCACGGTCATTTTACGGCTCAGAGCACGGCACGTAGCACACACGTTGACACGCACGTCGGCTTCAGCGGTCCACGTAGAGTCAAGCTTCGAAACGGTGACCCGCACGCTGCTTTAGACAGTGACTCGCACCGCCGCTTTATGAGTGAACGTGGGGTCAGCTTCACCCGTGACAAGCACGTCGGCTTCGGACGTGACGGTTACGCCGGTTCGGAGTCGCGTGACGCTTACGCCGGCTCGGAGGTAGACGCCGTGACGCACGTCGGGCTTCACCCGTTGACCGGTCGTGCGGCTTCGGATCACGCTCGTGGGCCAAGCACGTGCGAGTCGTCCTTCCATGCGGGCGTGAGCCCCCGCACACTCCCCGGGGAGATGTTGGGAACTCCGCCGAGAAGCAGATACCGGGATGTGATGCTGCGGCAGACCGAGAATTCGTCTTACATATATTATATATATAATATATATATATATATATATGTATATATAGGAAGTACAGGTCTTTAAAATATACATTCGTACGTGCAGCTAACACATAACGTTTCCACAAAGTTGCTGGAATGTTGTAGTTTAATTGGTTAGGTCAGGAATAATTAACAACGTTGCAGCAACGTTCTAGAAAACGTATCTCAAACGTTACACTCGCACCTTCCCACAACGTTATGTAGTAACGTTTTAAAAACGTTATTAGGACGTCTGGACGTCAGATACGTATATGCTATTATACATATTTTTCTATAGTATTAATTTCACATCCTGTATTTCTGAAATAATATGTTCAGAATACAAGATGTCAATTATTGTATATGTATATAATAAATATATCTATATACATACTATTATTATAACTAATATCATATAATATCTAATATAATTAATATATTATTATATATATTATATATAATACATATATACATATATATATACGTCATATTCAATATAGTAGGAAATTTCAGTTTACTACGTCGCAAAGCTCAAAGCACAAGAGGAGAGTGGACAAAATTTAATTCAACCCTCGTAAAGAAGCAATTATGACGTGGGAATGTTATGTCTTTAGTAAGTCAACGATTGTATCTTTCAGATGATCAGAATTGGACTGGGACTGGACTGGGGCACCAGATGAGAGTGTTTCTACACAGGTAAAATACCCTATTAACCGCTTATTTGTATCATAAATCTGTGTATACCAGTCCTATTGGCAAGGCAATTATTTTGTTAATAGATTGTTGATTGACAATCATCTTGTTTTTCACATGGTGATAAATGCGTATGGAAACGCTGGCTGACACATGCTAGAGTTGGTGGAGCACGAGGTTCGATATTCGAATCTGAGATAGGGTGCGAGGAGCCATACTCATTGAAAGAGAAAATGCCAGTCACCCACAATTGTTTAGCAGATAGTGAATCTGGTGGATAGTGGTGTTTTTCATAAAGTAGACAATTGCTATATGTATTTTTGGTCTCTTGACTCTGGCAGATCTGTCTAAGTATTGTGCATAAGCCATAGGTTTCACCGGCTTAACATAATGATAACCATTCAAACGTAAACGCCGGGACCGGGAGGAAGATTTAGGTCACAAACGATTTTTTTCGGATGTAAATACATGCGAGATGATCTAATTTACCTTTTATTGTACATATAGTAATGTAAAATAAAAATTGGTCAAGCTATTATTGTTAGTGTTCCTTTTTAATTTTTGAACTCTACAGTTGTGCACATATTTGAAATATATATTAACTTAGTTTTTATTGCAAAAGTTACACAACGAAAATTATGTAGTTTCATGCGCTTACAGATCGCATTAAATGTCCAATTTAAATTGAATGTAAAATCCCTGAATGTTCCATGAAATACGTACATGTCATCATTCTTTCTGCTTTGAACATTAAATACACATTTTAATATTCATTTGAAACGTGTAACACATGGTTGCAAGGACGTTACATCTAAACGTTGTAATCCACAACGTTGTGGCAACGTTCAGCTGGAGTCCACAAAATATACGTTGCCACAACGTTGTACCACAACGTTTTCACAACGTAAGTGAAACGTTGTGACAACGTTATATTGTTAGCTGGGATCAGACAGAGGTCAAGGGGGAAATTAGGCAAAGTTATCTTTTCGCTTTACACTACGTTGGTCCCACGACGTGAAACAGTTGCAGAGCTAGCCTGGGCAGGCGGGCTAGGGCGAAATTGACCCTTTCTCTTTCAGCACCTAGGCCCTACTAATTCGGGGTCAAGCTCAATTTACTCTCACACACGAATGCGCGTATAGGGTAGGCAGATGGTAGATGTTGGCAGCTACGAAACGATTGCAAATTATAGTTTCATATATCGTATACGAAATTTGGAACAAATTTCCAATATAATCACGTAAAGTTACTAAACATATATTACTAAGAGTGTATAATGCTGATTATAATTAACACAAATATATGAAACAGCAATTATATATGTTATGATATATTGGTAACATAAATGTTTAATTTGTCATCTGTGATCACTTGCACATATAGGACGTATTTTACAATGTGTTCATTTGTAAAATGTTTCAGGCTAACTGCAACTACATCTGCAGCTCTGGAAACACCTGCGAGAACTCCGGAGCGAGTCTTTCACTCAACGCCAGTTTCAAAAGGTATACGTCTATACGCGTTCGCCACACCCAGACCTCTCCCCCATCCTTCTCTCCCCTTTTCTTCGTATCTACTTATGCCATGCTGTCACGGCTTGGCGGACACAATACAGGCCAGGCTAGCGTGCTTTATTGCTTTGTATAATTGCACCGCCTGGGTGAACGTGTTCGGCCATGTGCCGATGAGTCATCAGCTATTGCAACCCCTGTACTGCGTTGCATCATCTATGCTATATGACGCAGTAACCTATTTCTCGTCGCCACACTATACTTGTTTAATGTAGATTGCAACTAAATAATTTTACAGTACCAAACAGTAGTTTCCTCTGTCTCTTTATCGTTTCTTATGTTTAAATTCTTTCATTCATTCATTTCATTATGTTTTATTTAATCCATTTTTTCGCTCTCCATTGTTTTGGCTTCTTCTGAAATGTCGCAATTCCAGCAAATAACGACATTTACACTTAATCTCGATATATATATTGCATTTGTTGATAGGTTAATTATCAAAGGCTATGAATTTAACAAATCCATTGCTGTTTTCCAGGACGTATAGTGAGCCACATATCACGCACCAACTAGATGTCTGGCATGCATCGAAGAACCTGGCCAAAATGATAACAGCTGTTAATTGGTATCAATTGCACATATTCTTTCTACTCAATAATGTAGCTAGCTTTGCAGCTAGGTTGGTTATTGCATTTATTGGGTTGAACTGCATCTCATATTGAAAGTCGATGTCTGATTTGGTTCTGAGCTAATTGTTGAGAGACAACCCTAAAAATTCTTTGCCGATCTGTGTATGTACAATTGATTATTCAGACAAAAGCTTATTTGATGTTTGCTATTTGCATCACTCCAGGCTGCCCAAAGTAAGGAGTGTGGTGTACTGCTTGGATGGATTAAGCCCATCAAGAATCACTTCTGGTACTCGTCATTGAATTGCAATGGCGATGAGAGAGCTCTGAAGGTATGCATACACTATGTGCTTAAAGCCGCAATATGCGCATCTACTCGCTAATTTCTCCAGTACTAGACAAGCAAATACTTTATGTCATGCATAATCATACTACCTTATGACAAAATAAACTCTAGTTACTCCCATTTAACTGCGCGTTGTCTTATAAAATGCATTTGAAAATACCTCCAATATGTTGTTCAAATCCTCCGATGTTGTTGACACTTTCTCGTTGCTCTGCCAAGCAACAGTACAGCGGGTGTAGCAAAGATAAAACCATGTGACGTCACATAACGATTCCGGGCGAGATTGCATGCTTGGCAAACAATTCGGCTTTGGCGCCAGATTACCAGATTTCGCACCTCTTTCTTGTGGGCTTTTAAGCAAACACGCAGTGAAATGGGAGGAACTAGAGTTTATTTCGCCATAAGGTAGTGTGATTATGCATGTCACGAAGTATTTGCTAGTCTAGTACTGGATAAATAAGCGTGTAGATGAGCATATTGTGGCTTTAAGTATATTATAACCCCAATTTCCTTCAGGCTGGGCTACTTCATGTCTTGTGATGATACATAGAGAAATATTATATGCAGGGTTCAACATTAACTTTTTATTTCACTAGTCTACTGGGGTATACTTAGTAACTGAGGAAAACCACTAGTCCAGACCCAACACAGTAATAACAAAACCATTGCTTTAAAGCTTCACATATCTGTGTGGCATCGCATTAATTCATAGCTGCTGCTAGTATCATAAATATGATAAAGTATAACTTTTTTAACTGTACTACTATTACACTGTATAAATGTTGTGCGAGTGCTATACGCCTGATTCTAACATGCCCACTCGGGCTACTATAGCAATCCAGTTGTATGTGACTGGACCAAGCATTTTCCCGACTAGGTCTGATGCGGGTTACACTAATATGTAATTCTTTTAATATAGAACCAAACTTTAACATTTTTCATGTTTTTGTATGGAATTATGTGCGACTGCCACGAGTGGGCCGACACGGACGGCTACACCGCTGGTGCGTGTAGACATGAGCCACTCACCGATGACTACAGGCAAGACAAGCAATAGATTCAGCAAAACTCGCCAGCATAGAGTGCACTGTCGCAGATCGTTTGCGACAAAAGGATCATGACGAACTTAAAGTACTACACCAACTTCCGGTAAGTCTTATGTAAAAAATAAGAGTCCTTTTTTATTGCCTCACTTAACACCTCTCTATGACTTTATATATAGTATAATATAATGCTTTTTATAGAGTCCTAGCGGGATACGCGGCGTTGCCCGGTGAAATCAGTGGCGTTACTGAGTTGGTGACCGCTTGGTTGAAAGGAAAATACTCAAAAAAATCGAACTATCCATCCATCCATGCATCCATCGATCACATTCCATGCCATCCCATCCCATCGCATCCCAT